TTAGAATTCCAAAAAAATCAAATTTAGTATGATTAGTCTTGTTACATTATCCAAAACCCTACATCTCATACGGTCTGACGAGTTAATTGTTAACTTGTACGGTTATTCTAGTAATTTCATTAAATATTTAAAAACGTTATTGATTCCCCTAATTTAATTATCGCTTTATTTGAATAACCGGAAAATACTTCTACAAATAATCGGATACTTAATTTGTTATCTGGTTACGTATACATGTTGTATCATCTTTCCATATATATCGTCTTCGAGCTTACCCTAGGAATCTGAGAAAATTACTCAATCCGGCTAATATCTGAACTCGATAAAATGTACCAATAAACATCATAATTATAACCTTACCACATCCAGTTATGAATCTGGTCCATTAGGAAATTGATATGTTTTCAATCACAACCGGTTAATTCATCCCTAAATTATAGGCTTCCTTCATCCATATCCCGTTAATTATCGTGCTTCTTTCATCTTTTAAACAGTTTTGATATTGAAATAACAATAGTGATCCAACATAAGTACTCATTTAGTCTTACAACATCTAGAACAATGTGAAAATAACATTAATCCTTCCTGAAACAATTAGTCAATGTCAGAACAAGTTAGAGTACATTGTCTAACTCATGAGCTGTCACTGCACTGCCTTTGCTTCATCCACTACACAGTCTGCATGTACTCCCCTACGGGCTTCAATTCCATATGCCTCATGAAGCCGAATTTTCACAGCTGCCATCACCCCTGTGTCGTAAATTGGGATGTTTTGGCATAAACCTTTTGCACGTTCAATTATCATCCTATGCGACTCACCACCTCCTGATATGTGTAAGCTCTGCTTCAGTATGTAAGGAAACATTTCAGAAAGTGGCTGAAGCTCTCTCATCACATGCGAATCGCTGCATTGCGATATGTTGCAGTCGAACACTATAATCTTCCACAGGGCACAGTCCACAACCACTCCAACCCTATTCTTCTTACCTACCATCACTGGCAGGTAGTACCTCATGGGATCTTCTTCACCACCTGTCCTACATTATATTGATTCAACCAGTGCTTTTGGAGAAATTAATTTCGTTTTGCTGTGTGATAGGGTGAATTTCTGATGGTTTCTAGATATGGAAGTGATGAATTTTGTATCTAGATCTCTCCCTCTATTCATCCCGCTCACACCCGGTGTCTTGTGCTTGACCGCCCGCAACAGTTTCATTAGTATGTCGACAACCTGAATATGACCAAATGCAGGGGTTTAGTACAATTACAAATAATTATTACTTCTGTTTGCAGGTAACTCACCCTTCAAGGGAGCAGTCTCTTCCGTTCTATGATGCCATGTAGGTCCTTTGCAGAAACGGCTGTGCCAGTAACATTTATGATGCTGTGCAACACAACAATATATAGTATGAGGTAGTTATCCAAATCATGCGAGACAGTGCAATATGTGGTCATACTTATCTAGACAAACTTACAAGTGATGTTCCAACTTTACTTCAAGCTTTTCAAAAAAAAATTCCAGGTCCTTCGCTACAATTAGGGAGAAGACAGGTTTTTGGTTTCCGCGGAGTCGTGAGACAATTTTAGCTGCGCACTATAATTGTTTAACAACACGGTGGGTATTGTCCTCTGCCTTTTGCTTTTCCTGCATAATATTGGTTCCTCCACGCAATTTTCTTCAAATCCGGCATAGCCGTCCAATCCTTCTTCGTTTGTTTTGTCCTCTTCTCCTTGCGTCGTCTTCTCTTGCTGTGTTAGTCCAAGAGAGAAAGTTGGATACTCTGATTCCGGTATTGTTACTTCTTCATTAATTTCCTACAAACTCCGGACCTTTTATTAGCAATTCAATATATGTTACATATGTTATTAAATAAACAAGGTATATGTAACCTACAGTCTTTTTCATTCTTTTTGGGTGAATATGAAATAAAATTATACAAATATGAGTTCATTAAGATATGCTAACTACTAGATATGCGTACGGAAATCATGTTGTTCAATGGTTGTATTAGATATTCGTTACCGGTTCTGCTGACCTTTATTCCCGTTCCCTTTTCTATTGAAACCTATCGTGTGTTGTTGCTGCCTAATTTCGCCACCATTTCCTAATTGTTGTTCCTCGTGCAGTTGTACCTGTAAAAAGTGCTTCAAAAATCTCTTTAATATCCGGTATATCTCAAATATTCATTGATAAAACCACACAACCAGCTAACAATTACACAAATCCGGTTCGTCGTGGTTAACCGGTTATGTATTACCCCATACCATATCCTTAACATACACACATTACAATCTCAATATCTCTTCTACTTACCATCATATCCATCACTCTATGTTTGTGTACCACATACCTTTCTATTCCTCCCTCCAGTTGCTGTTTTACTTGTTTGGCTTTGTGCAGATATGGTTCCTCCATTTGTTTCCATTAACGTATTTCTACATCCCACTCGAAAATCAACATTAGTGCAAGGTGACCTTGATGTGCCCTACAGCATAATAAAATGGTCAAAAAACTTATAATTGTATTTTATTCAAGGAAATACGGCAACTTAGAAGGAAAATCTACCATGATTATTTTTCCTCCTTTAGGTGGGGCATACTATTCACTTAAATTCTCCAAGACATTACGAACTGATTGTTCGTGTGCACTCTCCTATTCAGCGATATCTGCAGCACTCGGTTGTATAAAGGTTCCGGTTTATCCAAAGCCGTCTTACGCACCAATTCTCTAACTAACTCTGTCACACTTAGCATAGGCTGCTCCCTCAGGCTTTCGCATTGGTTACCGACATGGATGGTAACAACTTACTCGATAGAGTTAACCTTCTCTACCAACTCTTTTATGGTCATCAAAGCACCTTCCACCTTACTCTCGATTGAAGCAATACTTGATTTTATGAAATCTGCTGTGAAATTGGTGTGCACTGTAGACTCTATAGATATGTTGTTGATTCCAGTTGGTTTGCTCCTCGGTTTTCTTTGTTTTGTGTGACCCTTCCCCTCGTTTTTCATCCGCTCCACATTCATTTTTGTGACCCCTTCCTCTGAACATAGCCATACTAAAACGAAATCCTTGGCCTATTAACTCGACAATGTAATCTACTTTTGCATCTACCACTTCATCTGAATGAACTATTGATGTTTCATCTAGTGGATGTTCTGGATCCTGATCCAAAATGCACTTCACCACAACCTGATTGGTGTCGTTTTTCAGATTCGGTTAAACACAATTTCTAAATTATCATTTTTTGTGTAACAAACTACCTTATATATAGATCGTACATTTTCTTTTTTGTGTAACAAACTACCTTATATATAGGTCTTATAATTTGTGTAACAAACTACCTTATATACAGTTTCTAGTGTGGCTTGGGCTTAGCGTCTGCTTCCTTCCACAACGTTCACCGATCTCATTCATTTCATCTTCGCTATCTGGCTCTGATGAAGAACATGTTTCTTGAAAAACCTCTGTGAGGACAGGGACTGCTTCAACCATCACAAGCTGAATTGCAAGGGCAAACCCTTTAATAGCAATTGTATTTTGCGATAAGCTAACTTTGTTCCACTCCTTTATGCTGCTCATCAACATATCGAATGCTGCTCGCCTCCATGGATATTTAAAAAACTCGTCAATGTCTTCAATTGCTTCTGCATGCTCCCTGGATATCTTCATTTAAGATTTGTTGGTAGCAGGACCACAGAAAGTATGGCTAGGCATGCATATTTAACACGGATATCCTTCTCTTTAACAACTTTCCTTCTCAGCATCTTTACAACCGACTCTACTGTTACAACATCAACCTTGCCGAACAGGCCAGGCCAGTAAGGTTTCTCTGAAATGTTAGCTTTCATCTTCAATTTTGACTTAGCTGGATAATTTCCGCAGTGGATTCCGGTTACAACAGCGAAATCCCGCAGTGAAAACCGAATCGGTTGGCCTGCGAATCTAAACCACACCTCGTGATTTTTATTAACTTTTAATTGCCTTGACATTATGTACCGTGCAAACATGCCGGAAAAAGCTGGTTTCTTATCATCTTCTCGAACGGCGACTGCTGGATCTGTCTCTTCTCCTCCTCATCAAGGGTGTTAAGGATACGTCTTAGCGCTCTAGACGACTGGTAGGTGAGTACACGAACACCAATAGGTTCTTCACCGGCGGCGAACATCATCTCTGGTATCAAAACTTCGTCCACTGTAGTTCGATAAGCTTTCTGCCTCAGCTCTGTTTACTGAATCCATGGTGTAAGTCAGAACCGTCGTGTTTGGATTTTTTCGGAGTTTTTAAAATCTGGAAAGAAATGTGTGTGGTCAGAATAAGAACAGTGAAGACGAATAATTTTAATGACCAACTTCTTTCGTCTCTGAAATCATGTCAATGTATTTTGATAGAGGTTGTAGGTGGCTATAACCTAGGTAACTATTCATTTATGTCAGAAATTGTTGAAATCGATAAAGAAACTATAGGGGCTTCGATGTAAAACCGCACCACCCGATGTTTACACTTTCCAAGCGTTACCTCTTTCTTAATATAAATTTCTCCTTACGTTATTGAAGCTAAATAGCTCAAGTTATTTTATAGGGAAAAATATGAAAATCAATTTTATGTTTTAGAGCTCTATCAGTCAATTCTATCGCTGATTGGAAACTATATTGTCAAATAATGCGAAAGAAAACAAAGAATCATATTTATCACTTAGTTTGAATGTTCACGCTCCTTTTATATTAAAGTCGGACAGGACAAATCATCATCAACTTGCATCCACTGAATCCAAACAATCATTTTCATCAAAAAAAAAAAAAAAAAAAAAAAAACTTTTCTTCTTTTTTTTCATCTTTTAGATTTTTCGTCATCACTAACGTCACAAAATTGCGATGTCCAATGCATCAAGTGTGGCTGTCCCTTTTTCATAGTATACTTTTTATCACTAGATCTGTGTCGGTTTATTCTCTATATAAGTAAGTCTATATTAGTGTAGTGTCTTTCATTAACTATAACACCACACATAAAGAAATGGATAACAATAATGATTCATCAAAATCATTTACCGGACCACACTTCTTGTTCGTGACATTTCCGGCACAAGGCCACATAAACCCCTCTCTCGAGCTAGCCAAGCGCCTCGCCGGAACAATAACCGGAGTTAGAGTCACCTTCGCAGCCCCAGTCTCCACCTATAACCGCCGTATGTTCTCTAAAGAAAACGTCCCTGAAACCCTAATCTTCGCCTCCTACTCCGATGGCCATGACGACGGCTTCAAATCCTCTACTTCCTCCGACAAAGCTCGCAAAGACACAGCAGGACAATACATGTCTGAGATGAAACGACGTGGCAGAGAAACCTTAACCGAACTAATCGAAGATAACGGTCGTGAAAACCGGCCTTTTACCTGCGTGGTTTACACTATCCTCCTCACTTGGGTCGCTGAGCTGGTGCGTGAGCTTCATATCCCTTCTGCTCTTCTCTGGGTCCAGCCCGTGACAGTCTTCTCCATCTTCTACCACTACTTCAACGGCTACGCAGATGCAATCTCAGAGATGGCTAATAACGACCCTTCTGGTTCTATTAAGCTACCAGCTCTGCCACAGTTCCGTCTTCGAGATCTTCCCACGTTCATCGTCCCTGAAAACACATACTCCTTTCTTCTCCCAGCGTTTAGAGAACACATAGAGTCACTGAAGCAAGAGGAAAACCCTAAGATTCTCGTCAATAGTTTCCAAGAGCTTGAACAAGAAGCTTTTAGCTCGGTTCTTGATAATTTCAAGATTGTCCCCATCGGTCCATTGATAACCTTGAGGACAGACTCGGAGATTGGCGCTGAATACATTCAGTGGTTGGATACAAAAGCGGATTCAACTGTGCTTTATATTTCGTTCGGGACACTTGCCGTGTTGAGCAAGAAACAGCTTGTGGAGCTTTGCAAGGCGTTGATACAGTGTCGGAGGCCGTTTTTGTGGGTGATTACCAATAAGTCGTACAGAAGTAAAGAAGATGGGGAAGAGAACGAAGAAGAGAGCATAAGGAGTTTCAGAGAAGAGCTAGATGAGATAGGAATGGTGATTTCTTGGTGCGATCAGTTTAGCGTTTTGAAGCATAGATCAATAGGTTGTTTCGTGACGCATTGCGGGTGGAACTCGTCTCTGGAGAGCTTGGTCGCGGGAGTTCCTGTAGTTGCGTTTCCGCAGTGGACTGATCAGACGACGAACGCTAAGCTTCTAGAAGAGTGTTGGAAGACAGGTGTGAGAGTGATGGAAAAGAAGGAAGATGAAGAAGTTGTGGTGGATAGTGGGGAGATACTGCGGTGCATTGAGGAAGTGATGGAGGAGAAGGCGGAGGAGTTTAGAAGACACGCCGCAAGGTGGAGAGATATAGCGGCTGAGACGGTGAGAGAAGGAGGGTCTTCGTTTAATCATCTCAAAGCTTTTGTTGATGAGCACATGTGAGATTAGGACAAAGTATGGTATTTGACGAACAAACATGTTTCTTTCTTCAACTGCGACTTGATGTTAAAAACATAAGAAAACAAATTGTTAATGAGGCTGGGAGACTAGAAGATTATAGACAAGTTCTATATGGCACTTGGCGTAAGACTTCCATGGAGAAAATTTGGGATAAACTTCTATACAAGCTCTATGATCCTCTTAGCTTCACTGGTTCAGTATTTGATTTAGTATGTTATCACTTCTTATATTAATATGTTACACAGCTGTATTTGATTGTTTGGACACTAAGTTCATGAAACTCGATCGTAGTACTGCTATCTAAATTGTCTTTGACTGATGAACTAGCCGTGTAACTCTGTTTTCACTCTGAAGTTTGTTCTCACTTTAACTTTTGTTCTCCTTGTCTCAGGAGTGGCCTGGTGCTAGAACAATAAAAAACAAACATATAGATTTAATGGAGAAATTTTTTGGGATGGTTTATATTAGTTGAGGTGAAAGTTGGACTGCTCATCAAGGTGAAGTGGTTTTAGATACAAAGTACTCATATCATGTGGATGATGCTGATGGTCATTAGCGGTTCTTAGGATATCTCTAACCACTCTCTATATTTTATTCTAAAATAGAGTGGAGAATAGAGTGATAAACAAAAAAACATTACTTTATTTATGAATATTATTTTTATTTTTTGTTTATTACTATGTTTTCCACTTCATTTTGGAGTAAAATATGACGTGGGGTTTGAATGCTCTTAGCAAGCAGATATTATGTAGCAGTATTTACACTTATGTGGCTTCGATCTTTAAGATACAACGAAAAGTAAGGTGTGTGGTAATATGTTTATGGTAGGGCTGGGAAATCGGGTTTCGGTTCGGGTTCATTCGGGTTTCGGGTTCATGAATTTCATTCCCATTCAGATATTATAAAAATTCGGGTCGGATTCGGTTCGGGTTTAGTCGGGTTCGGTTCGGGTTTAGTAACATGTCCAAGATCCGGTTGAACCCGAAATAGTTCGGTTTCGGATACTAATCGGGTTAACGGTTCTAAAAATACTAATTAAACTCATTATATTTTCAATCATTTTATTAAATATGTGTATTTAGCTTCTACAAACCATATTGTTCTCCTTCAAAATAATATTGTGAAACTCATCTATCAACCATATAAGATTTATCATTGAACTATATGTGAAAACACTAAACATATCATGATTAATGACAAACGAAAGCCTTGTATGAACGAAATATAATACATAATGAAACATAAAAAATTAAAGTTAACAACTAACAATTCTATAAACATAAGAAGTACTATTTAAACTTTAAAAAACAACATTATATAAACTTCAAAACAAATTTATTCGTAACTTAACTTCAAATGTAATGTCAATCATAAACATTAATATTAACCAAATAACACTATATATTAGACTNTATTGTAGGTACTCAATAATATATTAATCTGTTTTGGAAACATATTAGAAATTTAGATTGGATATGATACAAGTTTTTTTGGAATTTTAAAGTTTCGGGTTCTTTCGGATATCCATTTAAGTTCGGGTTCGGTTCGGGTAATACCCATAACCCGAAATACCGTAAAACAAGATCCATTCGGTACTTATGTCGGGTTCGGGTTCTTCCATAAGTATTCCAGGAGTCTTCCAAAGGAAGTCTTCTCATGGATTAGATCTTAATAATAATTAATAAATTTTATTGAAAATATTTTCAAAGGGAAAATTTTGAAATAATCTATTAATAAACATTTATAAAAGATAGAAATTTAGTCTTACTGAAATTGAATTATTTTTAACATAAATGGGTGAATGTAGATTGAGTCGTGATAGTCTTTGGTTTAGGGTATGGTAACATATGTTGTAGTATTGTCGGTATTTTAGGGTTAGATTTTGAAATCTTATCTTTTATTTTATTTTCTTTTTGTTTTCAAATTGATCTATATATGTTTAGTAATTATATAATAACTTGATTTAAACACTTTCTAAGTTTCTTTTAAGTTTTAAGAAACTGTTTTTTTCATAGTTATTTGATTTTAGGGTCTAGAAGATTGTTAGAAGATGTTAAGAAGACTTCTTTTGAAGTCTTCTAACATTTCATGCATTATTAGTATAATTTGGTGTTCCCGCCTATATTTTAGAATAATTTAGGTTTCCCGCCTAGCTCGAAGTCTTCCAGACGTCTTCTAGAAGTCTTCTATGAGAAGTCTTCTCATGTATTAGATCTTAAAAGTAATTAACAAATTTATAAAAAAAATACTTTGAAAGGGAAAAAATCGAAAATCATGTATTAATAAACATTTATAAATGATAGGAATTTAGTTTTACTAAATTGAATTATTTTTAACATAGATGAGTGAATGTAGATTGAATCATGATAGTCTTTGGTTTAGGGTTTGGTAACATATGTTGTAGTACTGTTGGTATTTATAGGGTAAGATTTTGAATTTTTTTTTTAAATTTGCCATATATGTGTTTAGTGACTATAATAACTTGATTTAAACACTCTCTAAGTATGTTTTAATTTTAATGAAGTACTTTGTGCTTAGTTATTTGATTATAGGGTCTAGAAGACTCATAGAAGATTTCTTGGGAAGTCTTCTGACATATTCCCGTCTAAATATTAGTAGAATTTAGATTTTCCGCCTAAAGCGAAGTCATCTAGAAGTCTTCCAAAAGTCTTTTGTATCAAAAATATTAAACCCAATTGAAATTTTGTCTCCATATATAAAGAAAATTTACACATTCTCTTTCTTCCTCTCAAATGGCTGCAACAAATATGTAATGTTTCTCACTCTAGAACTCTCCAACCTCTCACTAATCTCTTTGAACATCAAAACACCAAAATTTATATTCATTTTTCATTTTTTTCTTATGTCTTCTCATTAATTTATCTTCTTTTTAAAGGTTTTACATTACATAGTTCTCATATTTTGTCATTCAAAGGTAGATCTATAAATTTTGGATATGTATTTTGTTATATGTTAGATTCTAAGAAGCTATAGATTCAACCTAATGTGACTGCATTGTTTATTATTCAAGCATAAAAAAATATTTTTGAAGTTTTTCTCTATTTTGAAATCATTTGAATGTTTTTGAATTTACATGTTTTTCAGATCTGAGACAGACTTTGAAACACTCTCGGAAGACACTCAGAAGACTTCTCGGGAAGTCTTCTAATACATTTTATGCTAGAAGACTTCCCATGAAGTTTTCAGAAAGTCTTCCAAAGCCTTCTGCCCAAAGTGGTACAAATTTTGGTTATGTATATTGAGTGTTTTATATATCAGATTATATAAAGTTATAAATTCAACCTAATGTGACTGTTTTGTTTATTAGTTAAGCATAAAAAAAATATTTTTGAATTTTTNGTCTTCTAATACATTTTATGCTAGAAGACTTCCCATGAAGTTTTCAGAAAGTCTTCCAAAGCCTTCTGCCCAAAGTGGTACAAATTTTGGTTATGTATATTGAGTGTTTTATATATCAGATTATATAAAGTTATAAATTCAACCTAATGTGACTGTTTTGTTTATTAGTTAAGCATAAAAAAAATATTTTTGAATTTTTCTCTGTTTTGAAGCCATTGAAGCTTTTGAATATGTAGATTTTTTAGATCTGAATCATGCTTCGGAAGACTTCTCTGAAGACTCTTGGAAGACTCTCCGAAGACATATTGGGAAATCTTGTAATGCATTTTATTCTAGAAGACATGGGAAGTCTTCAAGAATTCTTCCAAAATCTTCGGCATAAAGTGGTTATGTATTTTGTTTTATATATTAGATTCTAAAAAGTTATAGATTCAACCTAAGATGATTGTTTGTTTATTATTTAAGCCTAACGCTATATATTTTTGAATTTTTCTCTATTTTGAAGCCATTGAAGCTTTTGAATATGTAGATTTTTTAGATCTGAATGATGCTATGGAAGATTTCTCTAAAGATTTTTGGAAGACTCTCCGAAGACATATTGAGAAATCTTGTAATGCATTTTATTCTAGAAGACATGGGAAGTCTTCAAGAAGTCTTCCAAAATCTTCGGCCTAAAGTGGTTATGTATTTTGTGTGTTTTATATATTAGATTCTAAAAGGTTATAGATTCAACCTAAGGTGACTGTTTGTTTATTATTTAAGCCTTAAAAAGTTTTTTTGAAGTTTTCTCTGTTTTGTATCCATTTGAATGCTTTTGAATATGCAGATTTATCAGATCTAAGTTAAACTTTAGAAGACTTCTCAAAAGACCCTTGGAAGACTCTTGGACGAAGTCTTCTGAAGTCTCCTGCCCAAAATGGTACAAAGAGATGATGTCAAGTGAAGTCCAAGCTTATCTATGTTAAGGAATAATATCAAGCTCAATGTGTAATTGTTTTGTTTATGGTCTGTTTTATGATTTGTATGTGTCATATTTTAGTTGTGAATTATTTTGTAAATTTGAAGAGATGTAAAAAAAAATAATTTGGTAAATATATTCATGTTTACCAAAAGTACTTGACATTATTGAAGTTATTGACACAACATATTAAGAAATATTTTTAACCATTCTACACACTCATAACAAAAAATACTAACACAAAAACTTAGTCAAATTTACTAAAACTAAGTGAGAAGATTTCTCAAGAAAACTTAGTCAAATTCACAAAAAAACAAACATAAGTCTTCCTTAACATTATCAATGACAGAAGATTTCTTGAGATAAATTTTTAAGAAATCAATGAGAGAACAAGTTAATTCTCCATAAGTTTTCTTGGTAGACTTCACAAGAAGTCTTCTCCGTACACTTAACACAAATTAAGGGGGAAACTAAAAATTTAAGCTGAAAAATTTAAGCGGAAACTTAAAATCATGTCTAGTTTATAATTTTCTTGGGCCATTTCAACGAGATCGGCATGTGTAGAACTATCACTCAAAAAGCAAATTCTCACTCCCTTGACATTATCCACCACAAAATCATAACAATTATCTCTGAACAACCATTCTCCATAGACTACAATTAACAGCCAAATCATCTGCAAAAAAAAAAAAAAAAATCAGATTAGAACACATTACCAAACACAGAACATCAACTTATTAAAAAAAAAAAATCATCAAATAAGACTTCTTATGAAGTCTTCTACAAGTCATCTATTAGGAACACGTACAGAAGACTTCCTCGTTTAGCTAGGAACATTATTAAACATCAATATTTGTAACTTCATAATAATCACCAATTAAGTTATGAATTCGACTATGCAGTCCCAATATCGAATAATAAACATGAATTAGCAAGAAAATATTAAAAATTCATTTTATTTTTGGATAAATTTGAAGTTTAATAAAGATTTACGTAGAATACTTCTTTTAAAGTCATCCGAAGAAGACTTCAAAAGAAGTCTTATAGGGCATTTTTGCAATTACAAATTTACGAAGGAATACTTCTTAAGAAGTCAACTCTACAGAATACATCTTTGGAAGTCTTCCTTTGTAAATATTGTCTTACTTTTGAAATTGAAATTTTTTCGAAAATCTCAGAGAAGACTTCCAATGAAGTCTTTTTGGATAAACAGATTACTTTTGAATTTGACCGAAGTTGATTAGAAATTTGACTTTTTGCAAAAGACTTCTAGGAAAGTCTACCCGGTGAATACTTCAAAAGAAATCTTCTATAAGTCGTCTGGAAGTCTTCGAAATGTCGCAAGAAGTCTGCTAGGTTACTTTTGCAATTGACTATATTTGATTTTCTAGAGAAGACTTCTTTAGAAGTCTTAGGAAGACTTCTAAAGAAGTCTTCTCTCGTGGGAAAAGATTTGACCAAAACCCAGAACTAAACTCGAGAAGACTTCTTTTAGAAGTCTTCTACAAGACAACTTCTTTAGAAGTCTTTTACAAGACGACTTCTTTAGAAGTTTTCTGCTTTTTGTTAAATGTTTTATTTTTATTTTTCAATTTCAAAAGTAACCCACGCATACATCTTTTGGCATTGAGAAGACTTTCAGAAGACTTCAATAGAAGTTTTCTCCTGGAAGACTACTAAAGAAGTCTTTTATAAAAAGTTGAATTTCTGACCAACTTTTGTCAAATTTAAAACTAACATGTTTATCCGAGAATACTTCTAAGGAAGTCTTCACTTAGAAATTCGAAATTGTTTACAAAGGAAAATTGGAAGACTTCTAGGGAAGTCTTCTGTTAAAAACACACAAATGGTTAATTGCAAAACTAACCTATGCATTGACCAGAAGAAGTTTATAAGACTTCTAGAGAAGTCTTCTCGATGAAGAAGACTTCTAAAGAAGTCTTCTTCGTCGAACAGATCTGAAAAAACATAATGTGGTTCACGATTTCATACCTCGAACTCGTGAAATGACTTGCGTGATTTCTCCAATCACCCAGAACTTCACCACAACATCTACCTACTCGTTAATCACCACGAATCGCGAGCTTATGAATCTTACATAATTTATAATCAAAATCTTCAATTTTTTTGATGAATTTTGAGAGAAAGTGTAAGATATACGGTCTGTGTCGATAGAAAATGAGAAAGGATGAAAAAAATGAAACTTTTGTGTTTGACTTAAAATTTTGAGTCACTTTTTAAAGTATCTATATGTTTATGTGTTTATATGCTTATGTGGTTTTCAAGATACATTTAGGTTCTTAGTTGAGGATGATGACATAGATCTGATATTAGATGAGGAGAAACACACGTGAGCTCTTATAGGAGAAACATATGGAGTGATGGATGGTAATATTTACAAACAACTAGTGATGAAAAATCGAGGTGGAGGTTGGCGTCGTGTGCAATGTTTTATCACGAATCTGAAGTACAAAACTATGATATTAGTTGCATGAACTAGGCAACGTTTAAAAGTTTATGTAAGATGAGGTACAAAGCAATGATATTTTTCCATGTTAACCAAGAAGTGACTCTTGTAAAGTTCTTAGAGACTATTGGGCAAGATCTAATAATACAGGTTATATATGAGAGATACCAGCATTTACTTAACAGTGTGAAAAAAAGAAGTTATGAGAGATACCAGCATTTAAGCTTTTTTAGTTGAAACTCACAATAGACATTGTGACCCTTGTAAGGGATGAGTTTGCAAGTGGTATTCATGTAAGTGCTCTAGGTGGAATTCATGTGCCAGTTCCTCCTCTGCCTGGGAATGTCTGAACTATTTAGAGGCAGAAAAGCAGAAGTAACTATGTATGTCTTATATGTAATTTCAGTATCAGATTTACTACTCAAAGCTTCTTGACCTCTTACTCTCAAGAGGGAGTTTTTGAACCCCTCATAAATAACCAGAAATAACTTTTTGTCAACTTGGTTTATAAATTAACCGGTTTCATGGTGATTAGTCAATTTCTTGATCGGTTGACCACGAAATTAACTAACCATTTCATAAAACTGATGATGAATAATAAGATCAGCTTAAAGTTTAATCGCCTGTTTAACAGTTGATATCTGATCGTTTTTGTAACTTAGTTTGCAACCCTATTCAAAAATTACTCTAACTTAACCGTTTTTGTGGGGGGATAGATTTGAGATTACAAATTCCTCTGATCAAGAAAGGAATCTGAAAACGTAAATCATGTACAAAACGTTTAGCTTAAGCTTGGCTTATGCTTTTAAGATTACAAAAAATAGAAGGGGAGGAGGAACATAACCAGCAACAACATTGTTTGTAAACCAGTGGCTACATCTCTCTCTCTAAATCTTCTCGACTCTGAACGAATCCATAACTCTTCTTAGGTCTTTCTTAGGTCTTTTTCCTCATCCTGGAAAAATTTCTCAGGTGTTTGGAGTCTCAGTGAGTAGAGTCTATTGTTCTCAGCTCCTAGAACAGCCAGGTAACGCCTGTCCCATTCCAAACGAGCCACTCTATCTTGCGGCATCACAGCAATTTGTTGTTTGCGTATGACTTTATGTTCACCTGTTTCATTTCATGAAAAGATTCAAACCCGAATGTAGCTTAACCAAGCTGTGAACCAAATCATAAGACAGGTGTTGCAATTCCAAAGGCTGAAGCACTATGATGAATGAAAAAAAACAATGGGAACAAGTGTTGTTGATCAAGACATGTTGTACAACAAGACACGTTTGATCAGTGAAAACTAATCTTGTCAGTTATGATTGATCAAGATATGTTGCAATAATATAATTAAAGCTTAACTAACAATATGATCTAAGCCGTCCTATAATGAAGCTGCTCCACAATTTAGAATTTGAGTTCAACTCAACAACACGTCATTTTCAAATTTAACTGAAACCTGAGAGGTTGATTGGTTTTGGATTCACCTCGACTTGGTAGTAGAGTTTACCATCATCTGCAACTCTGGAGGAAGTTGTAAGGATGCTAGACTCGCGCTTGACACCGAGTCTAGTGGACATAAACTCAGTCAAGTACTGTCTAAGTAATCTTTTTCCTGCCTCTTCAGGTGAGCCCAAGTCCTCAAGAGACTTGTATTTCGAGGAAGAAGGCGAAGAAAACTCTACCGAGAGGTTCTCGTCGAGGACAATAGGGTCTCTAAAGAATATGTCAGCGCCTGCTCCTCTGACTTAGATCCAGTTTTGAGGGTACTTGAATGAGTATCAATCAAATGTATCAATGTACTCTCTGAACACTGGAGTCAAAGCAAATGCTGTTTTTGGAAGATTGGCTTCTGAAACCATTAAACTAGACATGAGTTTAATGGTTCCTCCTCCCAACTGCACAAGCCTGAAGAAACGGTGTCAATATAAACAATCGTCAAACATTAAGATTATAAAAACAAAAACTGTTACCAAACACAACACAAACTCATTATTTCTAAGCAGTAACCTTTTTGTCAAGAAAAGACACAATAGTATACCAAAACAAGCAGAGTCTTCAATCAGAGTGATGAATTATACCTGTTTGGCATTGGTTAACAAGTTCTGGCGAACTGGATATTCTGGTTTAGTGAACTTAGTGGATGGAGAAGAGATGGGTCTGGAGGAAAAACAGGGATTCAAGGTGGGTTTGGTAAGAGGAGGGGAAAGAGAACAAGGAGAGAGAAGGGTCTCCATGTTTAAGTTGCAGAAGAAAAAGAAAGAGTGATTCTTCTTACAGATGACAATTTTCTTATGTTTAGAGAATTTGGTTGGGCCACCTCAACCAAGAAATCCAAGTTTTGGATAGATATTGTAAGTCAATCAAATCTAGCAACATCACTACTGCAACGTTTGATTTTTTAATGTCACAACAACAAAATAACCTGTAAAAACAGAGGATCAGACCCAAGCATGACCAGAGCAAAAGCAATTTGCGGCACTGTTCATATAAAAGAGTTTACATCTCCCGGCCCACTCTAAAGAGTTATTTGGTGTTATTTTATATTTATATCTTTTATAAAAGAAAATAAAATCTTGTTAAGTTATATTATGTTTTTAAGAAGAAAATACAAAAAAAAATATTTAAAAAACGAAAAAACTTTTTAAGAAAATATTTAACACTAAAACACTAAATCCTAAACTCTAATCTTAAACCCTAATATTAAACCCTAAACCCTAAACCCTTGGAATAAATCATAAACCCTTTGGGAAAATCTTAATCCTTGGGTAAGTTAAGACTAACCAATATACTATTTTTTTTTTATTTTTATCTTTTTATTTTAAACACATGTTTTTATTTTAAAGATATATTAAAATATTGTTTTGTTTTAAATTATTTTTTGCAATTATTATTGTTTTTCTTTTATTTTTATCTTTTATTTTAAAACATAATATAATGTTAAAATATTTTTTTAAAGATTTTTTTCGTTTTTTGTAAATATTAATAATTTTATTTATTTTTTTCTATTTTTATTTTAAAAACATAATATAACTTGACAAAATTTTGTTTCCTTTTTTAAAATATATAAAATATGAAATAACACCATCCTATTGGTTGGTGAACCTAGAGGTTCACCCTAGAGGGTGAACCAAAGAATAAGTCCACTCTAAATTCAATTTGTAATACATGTTATTCCATTTGGAAATAAATTACAGAGTAATATATTGAATATGCTTTTAGTTTCCATTAGATCTGGGCATAAAAAAAAAAGAACTGGGCATATTTACCTCAACCCAAAATACCGACTTTAACCCGAACCAGAAAAACTGAAACCGAATCCGAATTGTTTTACAAAAATATCCGAACGGGACTTATAAGCTTACTATTTTGGACTTTGGTTATAATCCGAACCGAACCGAAATCCGAATTAGATTCCAAAGATATCCGAAATTAATAAAATATGTTAAGGTGATTTAGTTTTTTAAAGTATTCAAAATATTTTTGTAGTTTATTTTATTTGTTATTTTAAATATTTTTTAGTTAATTTAGATAGTTTAAATAATTTTTAGTTAGATTTGTAAATCATTTATAATATTTTGAAAAAAAAATTTCCATTTTCGTGGTTTTAAAAAAAAAAATTTGGATGATTTTAACCATTGGTTAAATTCGATCCGAACCAAAATGAAGCGGATACAGTACGATAACTAGTAAAACCCAAATGACACTTATGAAAATAATACCAAAAATCTGAATCATCTGGACCGAAACCAAATGCTCAGGCCAGATTCATACAAAGCTGGCCACGCTTGCAAACCTTGTGCAAATCTTGAAGAAACAAAAGAGATGGTTATCTTTCTCATGTTTAAAATTACCAAATTTATTTCACTTTGAAAATTGACTCTGCTTGAACTTGTTTTGCCAAACGTTTAATCACATAGCAGCATATAGTAAAAAACTCGAAACATAAGTCCGATATACACACAAATGTAAATCACATAAAAGACTTGGGTTCTGTTTATGGTTGATAACTTCCATCACTATGGCTTCTTCAGTTGTCACCTTGCCTCAGAATACGCAATATTGTCAAGAAGAGATTTAGGATGTCCAAGTATAGAGCCACCGACGCGAGAATGTACTCGTCGTATGTGAAACGCTTGATGAGATTGTCGGTATCATAGACAATGTATCCACAGAACACCAGCGCACTGATTCCTCCATAAATTGCAACAGAGGTCGGGCCAAGCGGGAAGAACATCTGCAACATTTACGAAAAACACAAACAAAATGTAAAGCCTCTTCCTTTTAAGCATATATGTGCAAGGAAGTGTTTTTGCTTCAATTCGTAAGAGAGACAGAACCTGCATGAAGCTGGTCACCACAAGAATGATGAGGCTGGTGAAGAGAATGGGTCCAAGGAAGCTGAAGTCTTTGCCTTTCTTTGCAGCCCAGAAAGTGTATGCGGTTAGAGATCCGACCACGGAGAGTGTCAATATCAAGGCTTCAAGGACGATTCTTCCTGATTAAAACAGAAAAGAGATTGTTATTAAAGTAAAGAATGTGTTTTCTCTGACAACATTGACACTAAAGGAAACGAGATTTGAACCTTCTGTCATAGCGCAACTGACACCAACGGTGAAGCTCAAGGAGATAGTGAAGAGGGCAAGGAGGATGAGGTTAACAGGATGCTTCTGGTGGTAAACGTGAAGTGGCCAAATCACTGCAAGAAAATCAATCACATTTTTTTTTTTTGTTCACCAAAGAAAAGCATATCTAATAATACATATTATCTCAACAAATCGAATCGAAGATCAAACTTAATTAACACATCACATCTGATCATCAATTAATTCTTCACTAAGAAGAAAAGAATAGTAAATGTAAATCTGATTACGTACAGACGAAAGGGATGATGCAGAGGAAGAGGAGAAGGCCGGGAGATCCGGTAAGGAGATCGTTGACCGGAGGATTAAGGACAACGACGGCGGAGATAAGAGTGGTGAGGAGGAGCTGGGCCGAGAGAATCCCGTACACCTTGCGGATGAATCCCCAACGGAGTTGATTCTCGCCGTAGCTTAGCCCTGGGTAAAGCGTCGCCTCTCCCATCTCGAGATCGATATCCTTCGCGGCGGAGGAACGATCTACGCCGCTCATGCTCACGCTCGCGTATCCGTACGGTTTCTCCATGGATTCGGTTAAACGGTCTTCGAGACAGATCTGGAGGAAGAGGAGAAATGGATTTTTTTGGTAAAAAGATGGAAACAGAGTTTTTCAGGGTTATATATATTCTATTCTCCAAGAAGCCGAGTCATTTTGGCGAGATGAGCGGCCAGGATTTGTTAGGATAACGCGTCGTATATCGACGTCGCTGTTACCTTTAAATGGAAGACCAAACATAATAGAGGACAAGTTAGGTCTTTTCCACGAACCTTCTCTTTCTTTCTTTTTTCATAGAATGATAATCCATACCATCCCTTCACACTCTATACTGATTCACCTCAGTCTCACTTACTAAGACCATCTCCGTTTGTGAATGTTGGAGGGGTCCTTAACTTTTAAAAAAATAATAATAATAATAAACAAATCGTAGTTCCTATTAAGAGGCAACTTTTAGCATAATCATGGGTGTCACTGACAAGTGTCGACCCGCGATTAATTCTTTTTTTTAATTCTGAAAAAGAAAAGATTAATAAAAAATTGAAAAAAAAAACTTAAGAACTTTTGGTGAAGTTCACCAATGGACATGTCCTAAGCATCAACTAATAAACTCCATAAGGAATATAAATTTTAAAAATAAATATTCTATATTTATAAAATAATCAAACAAGTAATAAAAGGCAAATATAATTTTATATAGGTTGTCTACATTATCAAAAATAATCTACCAATCACAACAATTTGTTTCGCCACGTTACAAGTGTAAATGTTGGGCTTCTATTTTTTTATTCGTTTTGTTTTAGTTTTTGGCCCATCTTACAAAAAGAGAAAAGAGGAAGAAAGAGAAGACACATTCTAGCCGTAGAAGAAGAGAGAGAGATATCATGGCAATCATACGTCGATGAACATCTCATGTGCGATGTGGAAGGCAACCAGCTCACATCCGCCGCCATCCTCAGCGAAGACGGTAGTGTCTGGGCCCAAAGCACAAACTTCCCTCAGGTTCATTATCTTCTTCTTTGATCCTTTTTTTAATTAACTTGATCGACCTGCTTAGATTTTGGTCCGCGCTCGGATCTGATAACTTTAGATCTGCTTTGACTCATAATTCGAATCAAATTTTACTTGTGAAAAAAGTTAATACTTGAGTTGTTTGTTTGACCAGGTTCTTCGCGTCTGCCTTCCCACCAGCCTCATGTACACTGGATTCATTTCCAAGTTGACTAATACAATTTATTTTTATGAACTTTATTACAAGAGATTTTTGCATAAACTTACCTTGGTAATTCCTCGTGTCAAACTGTTGTTGGGACACATTGAGATGTCTATGTGAAACCAGTTATGGAGAAAGTCAGAAAAAGTACTGCTTTCCCCCATTTAAAAGGTGGTACAACTCTACATGAGCAAACTTATGCCTAACTAAGTTTTGATTATCTATTAGGTGATGCTAGCGAAGGCTCAAGCTGAAAAGTGGGCTGAACTGTACATGATCAATGTTAAAGCTGTAAGCAGCTTATAAGCGATGGAGTTTATCAGTTGGATATGGCTCTTATGTTACTTATGCGATTCTATTTGCAGAAATATATTCCAGCCATGAAAGAGACTGTCAAAAGTATGTTGAGACACACATACGAACAATATCTAACAAAGCAAAAAAGGTATACCATGGTTCCAAGAGTTCAATTACTCCCCATAGTCAAGAGTATAGATTCATATTACCAAGTGACTTATTTTTTATATGTAGTTAAATGTATTACATGGAAAATAATCTTGAAGGTCATTTCTGATGACAACATCTGCTTGACAATATCGGAAGGCTAAAAGGGTTAAGAAGCCATACCTTGATCAATTGGCCATGGACATAAAACCACATGTTGATAAGGAAGGTGGGAGCTACCATGAAGCCTTATACAAAGAAGGCTATTCACTACTACAAAGAGTTTCTAAAATCTACTACAATGTAGCATCATCAGGTAAGATGCAAAGCCACTGTATATAATGTATATAATGTACAAAGACTCTAGACATCTGTTTGCTTTTAAGCTATCATATTGTGTATGTTTGTCAAGGGCCAAGCAAATATCGAAGGAAAATTAAAGTCATGAACTAGTAGCACCATTTGCTATCAAAGAGTTCATTTGGTTTTATTTTTCTGTCTGAGTTGTGACTTTTGCTAATTTCAATAAAAAATATATGTTCCATGCATTTGTTGCCTAACTAACCCTCTTTCACCCCAAACATGGAGTTCGATTATTTCGACACAAATTCATGCTGACATATATTATAGGAACTCATGACCCTGTGAAACATCTATCATGACTACTCTTTCTCAACTTCCCGCATCACTCACAAATACTATCAACTCTCACCTTTGCAGGTGATGACAGATAATACGAGTACAGTAAAACTTCCATGTTGACATCATCTTTAGGCAAGCAATAAGGGCAACAAATTTGTTGTATAAGATTCAAGCAGTACTCAATATCTGAAGCAGTGAGAATTAAACAAATACTGTACAGTTACGAATGAATTAGGATTGGAGGTATGGGCCCATTATCACTATTTCCAGATCAACTTTCAAAAATCATTGATTAGATTTAAATACTATAGTTACAGCAAGCATAAATATCTTCATCAAAGTTCTTTGTCTCCTTAAAATTATGATCGGTAAGAGTGTAGTCTTCCTAAAATTTGTAGATGCAAGAACAACCCATTCAATTGATATTGATTTCCTTATTTGCCTCTTTTTATCAGAGAAATTTAGTGTACAATATGCAGTTTTTACATTCGTTGTTATTGTGTTTCTGAGTTGTGTATGAATATCTTCCAATAAACTTCTCTCCCATTTGTTTGTTATATTATCTTTTGACAAGTAAATAACTTTATTTTTGCACATAATACATATTTTCTTACTGGATTTGTAGATTTATCTTTTCTGTTTTCTTTAAAATCCATGGTGAATCTTCCACAATCATTATAAAGCATTATAAATGTTCTACTGCTAAAATGATAAGAAATATGTTAACACGTGACATTTTGTTAATATTTCCCAAAACAAATAGCCACAACTCTTTAAATCAATAATGTTATAGTTGTACTATTTTAGTATTATATAAATTTTCTATTTTAAAAATTATGATCTATTTACATTAAGATATATTTTATGTAAAATACGAATAATAATTCTTCCACAGCAAACACTTTGTTAATATTTCCCAAAAAAAACAGCCACAACTCTTTAAATCAATGATGTTATAAATCCACTATTTTATTATAAATTTACTATTTTAAAAATTATGATCTATTTACATTAAAATATATTTCATGTAAAAGAAGAATAATAATTTTTCCACAACGTTAGTTATTAATTAAACTTATATATTCAGTTTCTATCTCATTTAAATTTTGGCGCAAGGGGATATATTAGACATGTTTTAAATGTAAAACTAAACTATTAAATTAAAAAAATGAAAAATAGAGATGACTACATTTAGAAGAAAATTGAAAATACAATTTGTATATTTTTATAAACTTATAATTACTAATTAGTTATTTAGTAGAATCATATATTTGTATACATTTTAAAATCGTTTTATTATTTAATAACTTGTGTTATATTTATTTTCTATAATTTGAGTATAAACAAATTTATACTGTAACTACAAATAAAGAAAAACTAGACATGAAAGGATAAAGAAAGTAATGTAAAATTATGTTTTTCAATTTTCTTATCCTTTCAGTTTAGAATAAAAGGAGTATATGTTGATGGTGTAATGTGATTGGAGTATGAATGCTTGAAAAATATTTGATTAAAATGGTGGGTAAGGAGAGGTGAATCTAAAAGAATTTGGTGTGAAAGTTATGTAATAAAGTGTGAATGGGAAAAGGTGCTTTCTACTTTCTCTAAACTAATTTATATATATACATGAATAAGTTAATATCTTTTGTTGGTGGAAGAAGTGTTTATATAAATAAAATGTTTGGCTGGTTTCTTTTCGTTTTCATTGTTGTGCATATAGTCTTTTGGCAGTTTGAACAAGATAAAAACATAAATTTAAAAATATATCTGGCTCAACATTGACTGCAAACAAAATTTCTACATTTATTTCTAAAATTGTTGTTATTTGACATACATGTACTATTTTTATATTTAAATATATAACTTTATTTTAAAAAGCTTGTGTCACATACACAAAACCACCATCAAGACTTATATCAACTTACAACAATTAAAATTAAATATTATAAACATATGAGGTTATTATTTGGCAAAACAAATATTGGAAAATCAGAAGTTAAACATAAAAGAGAAAGGATATTACACATAAAACTAATATAAATGATACAATACACGCGTAGCGCGGAAAAAACCCTAGTCTCTTATAAAAATGCTTACAATTTTTTTGAGGAAATACATGTATCATAAATTATTTTGCATGCAATTATATTTCTTCATTGATAATATTAACTATATATATATATATATTGTTTACAGTTTTGGCTAGATAAAATTACAAATATGTCAATACCAAATAAGATATACTCCCTCCGTTTCATATTATATTGAGTCGTTGTAGAGAATTTTTTTTGTTACAAAAACAATGTCGTTTTGGTTTTCAATGTAAAATTTATTAATTTTATTATGTAATTTGTTTTTCTATTGGTTAAAATATGGTTAGTTGTATAGGTAATTTTGTTTTTATATAGGAAATATGTAAAATTAATTGTTTCTTTAATCCGTGTGCACAACTCCAAAATGACACATATAATGAAACAGATAGATTATGTCTTATTATCTTTTCAGTTAAGTTACAACTTAATAGTTAAAACTAATTTAAAAACAAACACATTCCAATCTAAAAATTTACTAAATTAGTATGGTAACTTATCACGATAAGTAAACTATTTACGATTTGTTTGAAATCATCTAAAATGTGTGTAGTCGAAAAGATGATTATATGGTAGTGTTAAGATATATTATCATTTTACATTTTTTTTTTTTTTTGAATATCACCCATCTATTTTGTTAGACATTCTAGAAAAAAAAACTAAAAAGTTATTAAAATTGATTTAGATATTATTTAAACTTTAATGGATTTTAAACTTTCAATGTAATTTGGATTTTCCATTTGAATAAAGTCTTCTACAAAAGAGTCTTTCTAAAAATTACTTTCTTACAAATTAAGAAGAATATTTTGGCATAAAATTACATAAAATAAAAAATCTTAAACTCCTTTGTATACTCACATAATATATCATAGACTTGTTAATCACTTGATTATTCATTTAATAGAAGAAAATTAAGACTAATAACTCCATTTTTGTAGGATCTTATTGCTATCTAAATTCAAATGATTCTTCCTAGTATTAACGTTTCATTTGAATATTTTCTAAGAGTTTGTAAGCATGTAAGAATACAATTTTTTTCTTCACAATTTTAATACATTTTATAAATATTTACAATGAGGAACTATGGACATGACCTTTTATAGATTTTCATAGATCTATGCGAAAATCACAATTTTAGATAGTTAGTTTAAGATAGTACATTTACAGTATAGTTTGAATCCATACACATTATAAAAAACACTCTATTGCATAATGAAAAAAATCATAATTATAGAGAGACACTTATTAAGATATCTCTTGTTACTATTTTAACAATTAAAAAAGATGTTGTCTTTTATAATAAGAATACACAACTCTTCAAACTAAAAATTGTATTTAAAAAAAAACTAATAATTGTAGAATGACATTTATTGGGAAATTGTTGTTATTTTAAAAATAATTTATTATTTATATGAAAAGACACAATTCTTAAAACTATTAGAGTTCAATTTTTTTATTAAAACACTCTTTTATAATGAAATTAAACAACTCTTAAAACTAATAATTGTTAAAGGATAATTATTAAGATATTTTAGTTACTTTTAAACTAATTTATTTTGTAATGTTAACATTCGTTTTAAAACTAACATGGTTACATTTTTTAATGAAAAGACACAACCTATTTTATAATGAGAATGTACAACTCTTAAACTAATACATTTCAATTCTTTTTTTCTAAAAAGAAACAACTTTTAATATTAATTAGAATTCTTATTATTAATTTATCTTTTGTAATAAGAAGACGCAACTCTTAAAACTAATAATTGTGAAAAAACGTTATTCAGATATTTTACTACTTTTTAAACTAATGTATTTTTATAATGAATAGATAAAACTCTTAAAACTAATCGAATTTAAAAACATATATAAAAAGACACATTTTTTTATAGTGAAAGATACAACTCTTAAATTAATAATTTGTTTTATGAAAAATACAACTTTTAACATTACTTGAGATTCCTACTATTAATAGACCATTTTACTATTTCTCATCATAAAATCGTTCATGGTCTCCCACCAACCTTTTATGTAAAGTAAAGACACTAAAATTGATTGTATAATAAAAAGATCCATAATTTAAGAAATACACTTATTAATTTTTTTTTAATAATTTTCTAAAAAATAGTTTTTTTATAAATTTGTTGGGATATTTTAATTATTCGTAAACTAAAATATTTTTATAATGAAAAGATACAACTCTTAAACCTAATAGAGTTCAGTTTTTTATGAAAATGTATAAAGCAATTCCCTAAATTTATTTATAGTGAAGTAAGACACTCTTGAAACTAGTAAAGTTCAATTTTTTTATGAAAATACATAATTTTAAATAATGTAAAAACAAAACTTTAAACTAATATAATTCATTTTATGAAAAGACACAAGTTTAAATATTAATTGGGGTTTTAGTTATTAATATTTTTTATTACGAGAAGACACAACTATTATACTTATTAAACTTTTTTTTGAAACACAAATTATTTTTTATAATGAAAAGATGCAACTTTAAAAAATAATAGAGTTTTTCAAAAATAGACAAAAAAAAATTTTTATAATGAGAAGATACAATTTTTAAAATAATATATTTTCAGTTTTTTTTTATGAAAATATATAACTCTTAAACTAATAGAGTTCGGATTTTAATGAAAAGGCATAGACTTATTTATAATGAAGAAACACAACTCTTGAAACTTATAGAATTCAATTTTTTATTAACAGACATACTTATTAATAATGTAAAAAACGCAACTTTCAAACTAATATAATTCAGTTTTTTTTAATAAAAAAACACATGTTTAAGAATTAGTTAGGGTTATTTATTATTAGTCTATTTTTATTATGAGAATGCACAACTCTTGTAACTTATTTTAACTACTTTTTAAACATTATTTTTTTTGAAACGCGAACTATTTTTTCTAAAGAAAAGATGCAACTTTTAAAATATTAGATTTTTTCGGAAAAGAGAAAAAAAAATTATAATGAAAGGATACAACTTTTAAACTAATATATTTCAGTTTTTTAATGAAAATATACAACTCTTAAAACGAATAGAGTTTGGTTTTTTTTATGGAAAGGAATAACTTTATTTATAGCAAAGAAACACAACTCTTGAAACTAATAGAGTTCAATTTTTTTTATGAAAATACATACTTTTTAATAATGTAAAAACAGAACCTTGAAATTATTATAATTCAGTTTGTTATGGAAAATACACAAGTTTAAATATTAATTTGGTTTTTTTTATTATTAATATATTTTTTATTATTAGAAGACACAACTCTTGAAACTTATTTTAACTACTTTTAAACTTTTTTTTTTGAAACACAAACTATTTGTTTATAATGAAAAGATGAAACTTTTAAAATAATAGAGTTTTTTTTTTAAAAAAAAAGACAACTTATTTTATAATCAAAATTTATAACTTTTAAACTAATATATTTCAGTTTTTATGAAGAGATACAATTCTTAAAACTAATAGAGTTCATTTTTCTATGAAAAAACATAAATTTATGTATAGTTAAGAAACACAACTATGGAAACTAATAGAGTTCAATTTTTTTTTTATGAAAAGACATAATTTCTAATAATATAAAAACACAACTTTAAACCTAATATAATTCAGTTTTTTTTATGAAAAGACACATGTTTAAATCTTAATTGAGGTTTTTATTATTAATCTATTTTTATTATGAAAAGTCTCAACTCTTATAATTTATTTTAACTACTTTTTTTTTCTGAAACACAAACTTTTTTTATAATGCAAAGATGCAAATTTTAAAATAATAGAGTTTTCTTCTTTAAAGACAATTTTTCTATAAGGAAAAAGACAACTTTTAAACTAATATATTTCAGCTTTTTGTTAAAATATACAATCTTTAAACATTAATTAGGATTGCTATTATTAATAGATTGTCTCCTTGGTTAAAATTCATAATTTTGGTGTATTTTTTTGAAATAAGATGAAGTGCTTATTTTCAAATCGGATGCAAAAAGTAAAAAAAAAAATGAATAAATAAAAGTAAAAGATACATAGATTTAATTTGGTTTAGTACTTGATTATAAGCCGCAATGCATATAAAAGCATCATATGCTATTGAGATCCGGATTCGATCCGAGATCCGCTTAGAAATTAGGATATCCAAAGATGCCCGAATCCAAATCCAGATAGTAAAATCTTGGATCCGCGTAAACCGAATCCAGATCCATCCGGATCCGGATATCTTAATTTTTAGGTCCGGATATCCAGATTCGGTCCCGATTCGGATCCGTATTTTAACAAATATTTTTTTTATATTAATTATATCTGATATATTAATTTTTATAAATAAATAAGTTTAAATAATATTCTAATTTTATATTAATAATTTTATATGTCATATATATGTTCATAAATTATGCTTAAATATTTAGTTTGTGTATTATTTTTAGAATTTTTGATTTTTTTAAAAAAAAATCAATTATTATTACGGATCCGAATCCGCATTCAGATAGCCGCGGATATCACTATATCTAGACGGATATCCGGAGCCTGGATATCCAGAAGACACGAATCCAAATCTGAATATCAAATCACGGATCCGATGAATCCGGATCCGGATACTTCTAATTTTTCAGATATCCGGATCCGTCCCACCCTAGATCGTTGGCTCCTTGCTATCTCTTGTACCAAGTCATAGTAGATATAAATTAAATATAATTCCTATCAACTGTTATCAACTTATAAAAAAAAAAATTGATAAGAACTTCTAAAAAAAATTGATAAGAACCGAAAGCTCGTGAGCCATAAAAAAACAAACGCATTACATCCATCTTGGCTATGTGTGTTTCTCAATACAAGGACTTATTTTTTATTCCAAGGAAAACAAATATCAAACTGCTTAGTTCCACCGTTAAACCTACAAGGTCCCGTTGGTCTTATCTTCCATACGCACTTTTGGCACCAATCATCGCCGGCAGTATCGCGGTGGTCTCTAAATATGTCGAAATAATATCTTCCATTTGGCAACGCAAAAGAACAGAAAAACAATGTCCTTCCAAAGAACTGACGCTTAAAACTAAACGACCACGACCCACCCGGTTGTAAACTCTGGTCACCAAAATCACTGTCCTTTGATTTACAATGATAAGGCAACGTTACTGTACCACCAATATCGTTGATGATTTCTACAGTTATTTTTCCAAAAGGTTGAAACACATCTTTTGTTGATGATAATGATGGACCGTCTGCACCAGGAATGTCGTTTCTTGTGTCGGCATGGGATAGATCTGTAGCTATGAAGACAATCAATATGAAAAGTTGTGGGTAACGTTTTGAAATATTCATTTTTTTGTGGTGTAAGTATGAGAGATAATGACGTTGTTTGTAGTTGTTGAATGAGTTATATATACAGTAATATTAATGTAGTCGACGATTCTTTATACTTCTTTCCATAATTTTTTTATCCGAATATTCCTTTTTCTCTCTTAAATTCATGCATATGGTCAAACTTTTTTTTTTCGACGCATATGGTCAAACTTTTAAGCCAAGAAACGTTCGGTATAGTGATATTTTATATTTACTCATTTGGTTCATTCCATATTTTTATTTGACATCAATTTATACAAACCTTTAGAAAAAAATCCATAAAACAACTTAATTTACAATTTTTAGTACTCATACTTTTTTATTTCCCAATTAATACCCCAAATAATTATTTAGCTCACTTTAATACACAAACTTTACAACTATACCCAAATTTTAATAAAAAACTAGATCCTGATCGCACGGATGTGCGAAATTATTTATATTTAGAATTTTTATTTTAAAATTTAAACTTTATGACTTGATGATATTTAATAAGCTTTGGTTTGTGAGTGTCCGCATTGTATTTTTTTGGTTTTCGGTTTGTTATTAGTCGGGTTGTAAACTTTTGTTTTTAATTCAAGAAATATAATAACCGTTTGGTTATTTATGAATTTAGGTCTAATTATGGTTTAGTTATTAGAATTTTTGGATTGATTCAAATACTAATGTTAGGAACATGGTAAAATTATGTGTTTAATTCGAACGTGTGGATCTGAAAAGAGTTATTTTTTTGTTTTATTAGATAGCTATGTTTTCGGTTACATTTTCACCATTTAGAGTTGAGTCTGTGTTGTGCACAAGTATTTTTTGATTTTGACATTAATAACAATTTAACCATTATTTTTTTCATCATTTAACCTTTTCTGTTTTACTGAATAACAATTAACCTTTTAAATTATAAAAACATAATGTTTTAGTTTAGTTAAATATTTAGGCGTCGGTACATTTTCCTATAGCATAAGATTATAATATATAAAATTGTATTATTTACTAGTATATATAAAAAATTATGTATTTATTTGCTTAATAAACCTTTTATGTTTTACTGAATAACAATTAACATTTTAAATTATAAAAAACATAATGTTTTAGTTTAGTTAAATATTTAGGCGTCAGTACATTTTCCTATAGCATAAGATTATAATATATAAAATTGTATTATTTACTAATATATATAAATATTTTATGTATTTATTTGCTTAATAAAAATTAATAATAACTATAAAGTGTTCAATATAAAAACATTGTTTTATACTATAGTTTATGGTGGCTTAACTGAACAATAAATTTTATATTATGTAGCAAAACTTTTGACATATTTAGCTGCCATGAATCGATCATGTAATATTGATTTCGCTGAAATTACAGACTTCTACTTCCGAATTAGCTGCCACAATACTATAAGCGTTGTATCCCTGAGACAACTCCATTCCCATGACATTGTTTTTCTTCATACATAAACTTGTTTGATCTTTTCCGCTGAGGAGAATCAGTAGCGAGAAGAGGAAACACAGCGTGGAGCTTATTCTTTAGAGGAGCATGAGACTTGATTATAAGCATAAACTGCAGATATCTTTGAAGGACTTCAAATGCCCTTCACTGATTTCTCTGTAGTACTGGAAAAAATGTTTGATCTGTCTGCATTGTTAAAGCTCTCTGAAATCATAAGCATTCATCAGCTTCTTCAGCTGGGTGCTTCTCTTGATCCTAAAAAACACCTCCTTTCCATCCTGCAAACATCAAGCACACAGTTCTAGAAAAAGAAACAACATGAGCCTGATCTTGACATCAATACATTGCCAAGAGACAATAAAAAAGACTACAATTGTAAAAGTCGTAAAGTAGAGCACAAACTATTTAAAAAAAAAAATTCTACGGGAAACTATTGAAATGGACTGCATATGCATCAGCAAGTATGTATCTAGATAATTCATTAGATTGCTACTCATGTTCACAATGAACGTTGTCACATACTCAAAAAGGATTCATCTTTATTTTACATCACAGTCTACAATCGTATGAACATCAAAAAGTTTTACTTTATCCTTATAAAGATGTACAAACCTTTGAACATGAACAACAACCAACAGCTTTACAAAAACTTAGAGCTAAAAGAATAGGTAAGGTTTCAGAAATTTGATAAAGAATTAGCAAAGTCAAGCAAACTTGTAAACATAAAGAAAATACTCTGCTCAGGTTTCACAAAATATCAATGGGTTTCGGATCTTAAACATAAGGTAAGACCCACTAACACCAAACACAGGAACAGGTAGTACAAAACAGTAATCGCACTTACACACGACATTGAAATAGAAAACCAAAATCTTAGCACAGAAGGAATTTACATGACCCTTGACCTTGAGGTTGATGTGAGCTCCTCCGACTCCGTGTTTCGTGTCTTCTTCTGGGTTGCAAGACATTCTTATTTTCTAAGATTCTCATCTCTAAAACACCTCTAAAAGCAATCATTAATCACCAATTTTGATATTTAGATCGATCCCTACTCATCTCAAACCAATACTCATTATCTCAATGGAACAACTCGTAAACCCAATTCTTAGAATCACAAACACACAAAATCACAGTGCATATTCATCTCCTCTAGTTCAATCGTTAACAATCTTTAGATCAATCTACATGGAAAAACTCAATTTAACAGATCTGGGGAACAACGGAGAAAATGAGAAAGATAGGAAGAAGATGCGAACGACGGCGGCAATGATGGTAGTAAGAGCATCCACATCAATGAACCCACTCTTGGGGGTTCATTGAATCATTTTTTTATTATTAAAAATTTTTTGTTTTCTTTTTGATTTTTTTTTTTTAAAAAAAAAACAAAAAAAAAATCTAGACCAATCCCGAGCCGCCACGTGTTGAACCTCATGAGAGAGGGGTTCACCAGGGTGAACTTTAGGAGAGAGGGGTTCATAGATTTTTGTTATTTTATTATTTTTTTTTCTTGATTTCCGTGTGAACTCCCCCCATGAACCTTCAATGGGGATGCTCTAAGAAGATAAGGAGTTTAAATAAATCTACCTATGAAAGTTGTTTGGACCCCTTTATTTTCTCTAACCATACAACATTATTAGTATTGACCATATTAATAGCAACTAAAACAATATTATTCTCCCCATAATTGTATTAATGTATCTAACTAACAATTTAATACCTTGATAGAATTTTTTATTTTTTTAATCGAAAACTATATGATGATCTCGATAAGAACATTTTAACTCTTAATATAACTTTTTCACTATCAAAGATAACCTCTAACTCATGTTTATTGTATGTTATTATTATTAACTTAGACATTTAAAAAAAATTCGGCTTGCGTCGGTTCTTTTTGGATCCGACTAGGTTCAGATCCAAATTCAAATAGCTATAAATATGTGATTTCTGGATACATATAACTTATACAGCTCAAATCGATTCAGCAATTTAGGACCCCAAAAAAAATTTGAAGTATCTGAAAATCCAAATTTTATCTGAAATCTGACTACGAGAAACAAAAACTAACAAAATTTTATTTGGATGCCAAAATTATATTTCTAAAAAAACTGAAATTTTATTCGAAACCAAAAATTATTACCAAATATCTGAACTCAACATTTAAAAATATATATAATACCAAAAACTTATTTGAAATAATGAAATATACTTAATATACTCAAAATATTTTGGGTATTTTAGATGTCTGATTAGGCCTCAGATAGAACTTAAACTCGGATAGAGACCCGCAGGTCTAGAAAAATACCCAATATGTTTTTAACCGGACCCAACCAAACTGAACATGTATTATTGAATCGGTTTCGATTCAATTTTTTGAGTCCGAGTAAAATATTAAGGCCCAAAACTCTAAGAGAGAGTTACATAAAAACGTACATACAAAATCTCAAATACAATAATTCATAAATTATATATATATATTTTTTAAAAAACTTTTTTGCTTCTATATAATACAACTTTGTAAATTAATATTGTATAACAAACCAAAAATTTGTTTATAATTCAAAAAAAAACGCGCTTTCAAAGCGCGGATCAAAATCTAAATATAATATAGATTGCAAAAATTACAAATAACACAAATTCTTAATCAAATTTTACGTACAAAAATTTATTCTTATGCAAGTCAAATATATATTGATATGTCAAAAATATCATTTTCAGTGGATTAATAACGGTCTTGCATATTCTTTTAAAGGTATTTTTTCCATATGTTTTTATTATATCCTACCCTTATTACGTACGAGTGATCTGTACGACCACATGTGTGACTCAGATATGAAAATACAATGAAAATATTTGATTAGACGAATAACAATAATAGAACAATTTTTAAATAATATGTATATAATAATAATTATAAATTAATATAATGTTTGTTTTTACGGTCAATAAAAAAAATACCCGCACTTCTTAAGCGCAGGTCAAAATCTAGTAAAAAATTAATTAAATAAAATTTGATAGGCTCGTATATTAACCATTTTAAATCTTCGTGTATATCTAGTCAGAACTTGTTTGAATAGGTCTAAAAATTATTATGCCATGGTAAGATTTAAATAGGATCTATTTTAATTGAGTAGATACTAATAAGTTTCAAAAAAAATTAAAAAAAATCTCTAAAATTTAAAAAAACAATTGCTTTTTTTAAAAAAAAAAGTTTTAATTTTTGTTTGAGGAAATCATTAATTAAATTTTCTAATAATTTTTATAACCTTTAAATATTAATTTTTTTTTTTTAGATTCCTTCAAAATTAACTTTTAAAAAAATTTCGCTAATTTATTTACTTTCTTTCCTAAATCTTAAAATAAATTAGGATTTCTAATATTTTTCTTAGATTTGGATATTCTTTAAATGTTTTTTGAAAATTATTTGTATTTTTAATCAAAATAAACAAAATTTGGGTATTAAAAATTATAGTTATAAAAGTTTGTGTATTAAAATAAGAAAAATAATGAGTTAGGGTATAAAAGTGGATATTGAAAAAGTTTGAATATTAAAAAACTTAATGAAATTTAATTGGGATATTTGTAAATTTTCTTAAAGATTTATACAGACAATATGAAAATCAACTTGATATAATGAATCTTGAATAAGGAATAGTTTCTATGGGATTCGCTGGTTGTTGCTGTAAATGCTCTACACATTCAAGATTTAGTCTAAAATCATATACATTAACAAATCAAGTTTTTTTCTTTAAAAAGTCTGTAGCAAAAAATCTCTAATACTTAATTCGGAGAAAAATAGTACATTACAAAATTATAGCAAAAAAACACTACAGCAAATAATTCTATAACTTAATTTTTACAGCCAAAAAAAACATAAACCTACAGATAATTACAATCATCTTATGTTTAGTGTTTTTAAAACTTTGAAGGATTCTACGGTAATAAAATCTAAAATTAAAATCACAAAATCTACAATTAATTTTTTTTTTTAATCTGAAATTTTGAACAAAAAAAACTAAAGTTAAAGCACCAACCAATGGAGACTATAAATATAGTGATTAGAATAATTTCTTTAACTAGGATAAGACCCGCGCCTTGCGCGGAATGAAACTATTATTTTTATTATGTTTTGAAAAATGAAACAATAGTTCGGTTTCATTCGGATTAGAGGTGTTCAATCCGGATATCGGGTTTCGGTTCGGCTCGATTTTTTGGTATTTCGATTATTAAAATATAACTATTATTCTAAATATATATGTACTTCAGTTTGATTTGGTTTATATAGCATCGGTTTTCAGTTTATTCAATTTTATACCAAAAACATGATTATTTAGTTTGAGATCATATTATATATTATACAAATATATAATATGATCATATTTAGAGTCATATTGTCACATAGTCAATTATTTAAAAAATATTATATATTTAAATAAAAGAATTAAAAACAAAAAGGCTTCTATCATCTAATAAAATTATCAAATCTAGAATTAATATCAAAACACTATATTTTGAAAATAAAAATAAAAAACAAAACAGAAGCATGAAAGAAAAGTTTTTATATTCTTACATATTTAATGTTCATCAAACCAATATGTCTTCGATTGAACACAATTCTGTTTGTTTAAAGATAAAAAAAAGTTGTAAAGAATTTCAACTAATTGTTGTCTATCAAATTTATAATCTTTACTTCAATTTAGTTACTGTTAAAAAAGAAAAAGATCAAAATAATAAGTCTAAATTGTAATAAATTGTTAGCTATTTACAAATTATAATTATAATTCAACTCATGTAACAAATAGATATTCATGCGTCGTTATAAATATATACATATTTACATGTTTCAGTTTAATCGGTTATAAATTAAACCATATCCAAATCCTATGGTTTTTATAAAATCACATTCATTCGGTTTGTATAGTATATACCAAAAATAACCATATTATCGATTGTCAATATCTTTTAAAAATATAAAATTAAAAAAAAAACTAAGATATGTAAATCATTGATAACAAAAAATTTCAATGTGAAAAATTTAATAATTTAATAATTTATAAATGTTCTTGAATTTATTGAGGATTCTGAAATTAAAATATTTATGTAATCTTATATGGTATATAGTTTAATCTGTATATATATTTGTTTCATTATTGAATGATACTTTTTACTTATATGGTTTTAAAATCATGTATATTTTTTTATAATAAAATATTAAACTATTGATCATTAATTTTTAACATAATAATTTTAATTGTTTAGTTATTTATTCTCGTTTTTTAAAATTCAAAATATAACCTATACGAAAAAATCTAAAGTTTAATTTTATAGCTAATTTGATTGTTTAATTTATTTTAATAATATAAAATTAAAGAAAAATGATGAAGGATATATAAACTGTTATCAAATATTTATTATTAGAATCATTAAGATATATATATATATATATATATATATATATTAGTCATTTATGGTAATTCCGTAGGTTTTATTTATGGAAATAAAATAAAATATTAATATATCTAGGGGAACAATCATAAATGCTTCTATCATAAATATCATATCATATAATTTGACCAACAAATGTATCTAGCGAAATATAAAAATCGAATGTGGACCTACTTATTTTTCAATTGAATGTAATTGATTACCTAATTGAGTGACACCTAAGCATGAAGTCTTTTTTTAATTATTACAAAATTGAGGTTACAATTTTTTAAATGTTTCTTATTTTTTAAAGAAATTTTTTCTTCTGCTTCCATAATTACTATTAATATTTACGATTTGCATATATTAATTTTTACATAAATTCCGAAGTTAACATATTAAGTTTTACATTTTACATATACACTTGCCTTTACCATTAAGTTTGAACTTGGTCACAAAGTATTTTCCATTTTACATATACACTTCCATAAATTAAAAGGAATAAAGTTATTATAGTTAATATATGCAAATTGTTATCAGTTACCTACTATAATTATGATTTCTTATATTTTCCTTTTCTTCCATGACATGTATTAATGTGTCAAATATAAATTCATATATTTAATGAAGCCGGTTACATGCGTGGGATATATATATTAATGTAAACTCTGTTACATGCGTTACATGCGTTTCTAATTATTTTTCCTTAGCAAATTTCAATTGAACCTAAAACTGCCACGTCAGTTTAATTGATATGCTAATTGATTGACAACTAAACAAGATTACTTTTTAATTATTACAAACTTGAGGTTACATCTTTTCAAATGTTTCTCAATTAATATATAGGGGATTTTTGAGAAAATAGTTTTCTTAAGCCAAATAGATTTGGACATTGTCCCCTTAGGTTAAATCTATTCACTTATTGTCTCATTAGGCTAAATATTTTCTAAATGACAATACTACCCTGAAATTATATAGTTTTAATTAATAATTCGTAATTAGTTTAATATTAATTTAGAAAATATTGATATTTTAATTAATAATTCGGAGTTAGTTTAAATAATAAATTAGAAACTTTTTTAAATATAATAATTCTTAAAGGGGATAAAAAAACTCCTTTCTAAACCTAACCCCCTTCCCCGACAAACACTGTCGTCGTCTCCTCCTCTCTCCCTTTCTTTCTCTGTTTCGATTCTCCTTCCTCTCTCGGTTTCGAAGAACTCTAGGAACCAGAAGTTGTGACCGCCTCTCGACCTTCATCTCGATTCAGGAACCTTCATCTCGCTGTTGCGACGAAGCTCTCCTCTAACAACTACTCTTCTTCTTCTACTCGCCTTCGAGGATGTACTTAAAATTGAATCGAAACACCCCGGTGTTACGGTCGCTACATACGTTTACGAGCTTTATAATGAGGATTTAAGGCCTGGACCTTTGTCTGAGAAGAACTGGGGGATGTTTCATACGAACGGGACTCCGGTTTACACGCTGCGTTTGGCTGGCGCATGATAATACGAATGATAATACGAACAAGACGTTTTGTGTAGCTAAGGAGAAGGTTGATAAGAAGATGCTTCAGGCGGCTCTTGATTGGGCTTGTGGGCCAGGGAAGGTTGATTGTTCGGCGTTGATGCAGGGTGAAGAGTGTTATGAGCCTGATGATGTGGTTGCGCATTCTAGTTATGCGTTTAATGCTTATTAGCAGAAGATGATGAAAGCTTCAGGGAGCTGTGATTTTAAAGGAGTTTCTACCGTTACATTTACTGATCCAAGTATGTGAAACCTCTCTCACCTCTTTGAATAAGAGTTTTAACATTTTTGTTCTGTTTCTAAAACATGTTTTGATTCTCTATGCAGGTAGAGGGACTTGTGTATTCCCTGGAAGGTATACATTCAAACGTTTTTTTATTATTTGAATGAGTCAACATTAACGGTCGATATGTTTTGCAGTGCTAAAAGCAATCAGACACTCGGACACAACACAACGGAGTTGGCTCCTTCAGCGAACTCCACAACCTCTGGATGCTTCCCACACCCTCAAGCTTCTTTCGTTAACTTAACATTCCTCTCGCTTATACTGCTCTTTGCCTTAGTATTCTTGTAGAGACTTGGAGAAAACAACAAGTCCTAGTTCTTGTTTCTTAATTTTAACTTCTTTCTTGCAACATTTAAGATAAAATAGCTCATTGGTTCTCTTCTCTCCATGTTATTAGTCTACCCAGTTTTGTTCATCATCTTTCACTTAAGGGTAGCATGTAGCTTCGGCTCCAGAATCATTGATGGTTGTAACTAATCTATGTGTTGAAAAGCTTGATTCTTTCTTTCTTTGTCAATGCATGCTCTGCGTATTTCACAATGTTTAAATAATAGCTAGCCAGTAGAGATTATTATTCAGAGTCTAGGCAAACATTTATGCATTAACAAATGACTAATTTATTTCTTTATATGTTTTACATTTACATTAACCAATTTGCGACCAACTTTTCCACTTTCATAATCACATAAAACATGAACAAATATACAGAGAAGAACAAGTATGTTTAGCTTTGACAGTAGCAAGTTTGGCGTTAAAGCAAACATGTTTGTTTAGATTTGATAGTCAAAGGCGTCATATGGGTTTGTACCTGCCCTGTAGTGACATCCAAATCAGCATCCTTATCTTGGAAACCAAAATCCTCTATAACAACTTTCTGTAACTTTTCCAGAGAGAACTTCAATTCCAAAGCAAGTAACCTTCCCCCTTTCTTTTTATCAACAGAAAACCTCCAACCTGAAGCTACAACCGATTCCCAAACACCACATGAATCATAGACATGAAACATGGTAGAAATAAGGTAAAGACTGTGAAAATATTGGGGAGAATGGAGAAGATGCGTGAGAACCGTGATAATATTTTGCAAAGATTTTCCTTTTTAGAAAACGTTTTTGTCTTTGAATTTTCCTTTTTTTTTTAAAAAAAAATTGAATTTTAAATATGAAAACTGAATATTTCCTAATATGTTCTTCCTATATTTTCGGATCTAATAATATTTATCCGTAGAATTCATATTCTACTAAAGGTAGAACTCGGTACGAAGTTTTGAAATCAGTTTCTACATGTATTAGAACGTTGTAAGAATGTAGATTCCGATTTCTACTAGTCTTAGATTTAAGTAAAAGTTTAGATTTCAATTTCTACGAGTATTAGAACTCTATGCTAAGCGTGGAATGTGTATTCCAAACTATTTTAGATTCTTGTTATTTCCGTAGAAAACATATTCTGCAATTCGTAGAAATAGTGAAAAGTGGATTTCGTATTCTAATCAGTAGTATACAGATTCTAATATCGGTAGAACAATATATGAAATTATGACTTACACATTTTTAAAACAGGAAAAAAGTATCACTGTATAGATATATAGGGGTTTCATCATTATGTACTATTTTTTTTTAAAAAAATTGGTTCAATTTTTTTTTTTTTAATAATTTCAGAAATAAATAAAGAGCATTAGAGTCAAAAATGGTACAAAATATAATTTAGACTAAAGGGACAATGTCCAAACCTACTTGGTCTAAAAAACAGTTTCCCCTTAATTTTTCTCTTTTCTCTCACAAACTAACTAAACTAAGAACATCTTCAAATAGTGATACTCATTGGAGTTGTTTAAAAAAAGAAGTAAATATCAACCAATCGTGGGCACGTGTCGTGGGAGCCCACAAAATAATACGAGGATTCACTAAAAAGAATCTTTATTTAGAGATTTTTAAGGATTAGTCTTTAATTTTTTGTGAGATTTACTGATTATTTAATTATTTTTTCATAAGGATTTCTCCTTAATGACTACCATTGCGGATGCTCTAATATACCAGTGGTTTTATAGTGAAATATATTTTGTTTTAAAGCACAAAAATGAATAAAATTACTTTTAAAAATATAATGATATCAATAATATAAATCTAAATCGAATTAAGCAATCATAAATAATACTAGATTTTGACCCGCGCTTGAAAGCGCGGAAATTTTTTATGATTTAAAATTTATATAATTGGGTTTTGTCTTAATTTAAAGAATGTTTTGGTATAAAATCAGTTCACCAAAATTTGTGGTGATGATTGTTTTACATTAGTTTTTAGTTTCAGTTTTTATTTTTAGATTTTGTTTCAGATTTTGGTTATTGGTTTTTAGTTTTTAAGTTTCTATTTTTGTTTGTCAGCTTTTGGTTTGTGTTTTTAATTTTTAGATCCGTTGAGTTAGTTTGAACTGATACTACCAACAAACAAATCCTAAATAATCGAACATCTACTTTAAAACTGAAAAGATGACAAAAAAATTTGCAATAGTTTATTTTGTAAATAAAAAAAAGCAAAAAATAGAACTTGTGTTTTCATCTTTTGGTTTTGATTTTTGTTTTTAGATTTGGTTTTTGGTTTTGCTTTACATTTTTTTAAATCAGTAAATTATTTAAGAAAGTAAAAAAATAAATTATTTAAAAGTTACCATGGAAATTTATCAAAATAAATTTAAATGACAATTTGTATTAAAATAAAAAATACATTAACATGTTTTAAAGTACATGATTTAAATATATGATTAATAATAGACAATTTTGTTTAGTTAAAAATATTAAATACCTTTTGGGCCTAAAAATAGTAATTGATTTTTTGATCTATTAAGATGGAAAGTTTATTCAATATTTTTTGGAGTGTTTCCTTAATACTAAGCCCAAAAACCAAACTATATAATTTCTTCTAAAAACAAAAGTAAGACCAAGACTATATCCCATAAATAATCATCGGTTTAATTTAAGTAATGCGGTTCAATTAATTATATGGCTCGTGTTACATATTTGTAACACTCTAGAAAATGTCCAAATTTAAATGACAATTTGTATCAGTAGATAAAAAGAATGACTCTATTTTAATAGAATAGATATTTTAATAGAATAGATAATAAAATAATTATGGGTCAACTATTTTTAATTTTAATTATCTTAAAAGTATCAAAACACATTCACAATTTTTTTTTTGGTTGGGGGATTGCTTTTTCTAATCAATATGCTACAATTTTAACCGTAAGGTCTCGTGTGGTTCTTCAATAGTATTTTTCTCACTAGGTGATTTTCCCGTGCTCATGCACGGACATAAATATTTATAAAATAAATATATTATAATAATTAATTGATATTTACTTTAAATTTAAAATTAATTTATAATTTGTAGGTATAATTTGTATTAACAATATTATATTAATTTAATTGTATATAATTTTAGATATGTTATATTTCGTCAGTTTTATTATTTTTACGATTGATTTAGTTATCATTGAGATATATTAGATTCTATCTATTTCTCTGAATTCAACTATAATCTTTTTTATTCTAAATATATTAAATTTTTGATTAATTGTTTTATTTTCATTTATGTCGGTTGTTATCTTAAAAATATAAGTATATCTTGATTCTAAATTACATACTTAAGTAACTAATAAATTTTTGCAAGCTTATGAACACATATCAATATTTACAATATTTAGATTGATTAGATGGTAAACTGAAATTTATTTTAAATAATTTGAAAAATAAGGATTCTGGTTTGCTTAAGTATTTTGATTATGGTTATATTAAGTTCCACAAACATAAAAACAGAAAATTAAAAATCAAAAGAGTTATTAAGAAAACATATAATTTTAAATATTAAAATATAATATATCTACTTCAATAAATTATATAATGTTATGATATTTTAAGATAATTGTAGTTATTAGATCAAAAAATGTTTATTATTAAAATTCATTTTTAGTTTTGTTTTTAATATCTTTTAAAATATGCAGTAAAAATGGTATTGTTTTGAGAAATTATATTATATAAGTAAATAGAATTTGTATTTTTTGCTGTAATTGTAAGATATTATAGTCAAAATATACTAAAATAAAAAATATTTCTTTCAAGAATACTAATTATAATTTTTTTTGTCAATTAAACATATATCAGTTTATGTTACTTGATTATTATATGTAATCATATAATAAAATAGATATATAAAAAACAAATACTTTGAAAATCTATATATTTATTATTTAAAATTATTTTTTAAAATTTAAAAAAAATATCTCTTTTTCTAATATAAAGATTAGTTGTGTGAACTTTTTTTATGGAATCACATTATATACAAATATTGTTTTTCATCTAAGAAGATATGGTTATAAAGTATTTTATTACTTCAAAATTATATTTTATGTTATTTAAAATATATTTAAATTAAATATCACTATTTTGTGAACTTACCATTTTTATGAAACCATATTTATATATACTTATATTTTCGTTTCTAAATAGTTTTGTAAACTTTATACATGTTTCCTTTTTATTTTATATTGTTATTTGGAAAAAAAAATTAAAAGGAAATAATAATATTTAAATATATTTTTAATTCATTAAGGGTATCATAGTAATCAACCATCGTGAGAGTTAACGTGAGCGCGACACGTAGGAAACTGACTTCTCAAATAATATTATAGAGATTGCACTTAATACAACTGTTCATATGTACATAGAACATAAAAGAATCACAGTTAAAGGTTAAAAAGCAAGCAGGAGGGTGAATGAGGTCAGCTATGTTTGCTAGGCAAAGAAGTGTTCCTCCATGAGCCACGCTTAGTGGCAACTAGCTCCGGTGTCTTATCAGGTTTCTCCATGGCCATCTCTAGATCTAAATTTTCTCCAACCCTGAACTCTGGATGGGCGTACGCATTTCGAAAGAAAGCCTTAAGGTTTAGGTTTGGTTCACGTGTGCGCTCCAGCGTATCTTTGATCATGGCTTCCTGATAAAGACAAAGGTAAAAAAAAAGAAAAAGACCGCTAAGATGGCTCCAAACAAACATCGAAAAGGATTCTCAGTTTATTCTTGACTAACCTTTAAAGAGTATGTGACAAAGGCAGATTGGTAACGGCATTTGCAGTGCATGTGGAACCCGATGGTTAGAACCGGAAGCACAAGAAGAAAAGGAGTAGACTTATGAGCTTGTTTCGTGCTTAGTAGACCCATCAAGAGAAGCTGCGAAACGATCAGTGCGGTCACCACACGCCTGTGAACGTCAGGCCAGAACTTCCCTGCGCTCTCGTACTTTTGCTGATACACGTTTATAACCTGCATGCAAATAAATTCTTCGTTGTTACCTTACGATGCTCCAACTCTTGAGAAGAAAAAAAAGGATTCAGTTATTCGCACCTGATGACGGTACACTATGTAAGCCAGGGCGAAGAAGAGGATGATAAAGGGAAGAAGGATGGGGCTAACTGCTGCATAAACAAGACCAAGAAGGAAGTAGAGTTGTATTTGAGGCTCACCAGTGTTGAATCCTATGGTTCCAGGATCAGTTGCTTCTTCCCTATCTTTCTCTGTTCTAACAAGGAAAGAATTCTTTAGATGATAGATTATGAGCGGCTTCAACCTCAGTATCTCCCCAGCAACTCCTGCCCATCCATCCACCATTATATATGTTACAAAGAATGTCGCTTTTATTGGAATCGAGACGCCAATTGTCTTTGCAATACTGCATAACAAACAAGTAAAAGAAAGAAACATGGTAAATTCGGGTTTATTATGGATTTCTAACTTAAAACCAATTGACGATAAAACTAACTAAGGAACCATACTCGTTTGCAGACTGGTTAAGGAAGCTGTTGAGCTGTTGAAACGCAGTCCCAGTGACTATGCTTCCAAGGAAAACATTGATGAACTGGAACATGTAAAATCTACTTGCGGCTCTTCTTTCTAATGAAGATGTGCTGATAAAACCTTCGAATTTCGACATTTGCATCAATATTCTTGGGAGCAGCATGAGAAAGATCTTCAAGGCAATCCCTGGAAGGAAGCCTTGAATGATGGACTTAAAAAACTTCCTGTCCACATAAGAGAGATTCTATGAGCAAGAAGGGAACAAAGATTGATATTATTTATGGGAGATAATAAACAGAGACATACACTTCTATAAGAGGCTTCAAGAATGGAAAATTCTTCTCTATCCCTTCAATATTGGCGAGTGACTGTACAAATGCTATTGGGATCATGAAGAAGAAGGTGAGGAAGAAGTACGCCACGGCGACTATTATCCTCCTTATCTTAAGGTGGACATATGGCAATGCTAGATTATCATAGTAGATGTCACATGGCTCTGCAGCCCACTCGGTTAGCCACTCTGTTGGATCTCTTGACTGTTGGGTTTGAGCACAAACAGCTGCTCCCCAACGGCTCTTGAAAGACACAAAAGCTGCAGGCACTATCGACTTTGTCCCGGTCCTTAACCTCTGTTTCTCCTCACTTATCTGAAACATCCAAAGTTAGATCTGTCTGGAGATTTAAAGCAAAAAGCATATACAATAGTAGTAGTAGCTGAGATGAACGCTTTACTTCTCTTGTTAGACTCTCTACCATAGACGTGTAGTACTTGATTCCATCAACTTCTTCACCGCAACAGCCAAGAAACCCCATCTGCTTTGCAGACAATAAAAATGAGTCTTGAAGAGAAACATCACTTAAGCTTTTTTTGCAAATGTGAGTTTACGTACCTTTATTACTGGCCTTTTAGATAGATTTCTCATGTGTTTGTTAATATTGTAATCAAGCAGATTCTGCATTTGTTTCCTTGTCTGAACCAATTCCGAGAGTTTGGTTGCGTCATGGACTGCCTGAGTTAAAGAAGATCAAGAACTGTCAATCCGGAAACTAACTCAGGGGATGGATATATATATCAGACAATTTTACCTGGAAAGTAAGGTAATGATCTGGATGGTTGACCTTAAAGAAATGCTCAACAAGTTCACATATTGATTCATGAGGATCTACAGGAATGTTTCTTACCAGCACCTAGCATTGATGAAAAAAAAAAATTCAGAGTGATTCTATCAGAAAGCTAAACTCAAGAGAATCAAAAAGATTCAGAGTTTCATTACAGTGAACTGGTTAGGTCTCCTCTCATCATTTGCAAGAAACTGTAGCCTCATCAAAGCTATATTCTGATACTCTCTTTTCAGCATAAAGCATGTCCAGAAGGTGATTGCATAAGCCATACAAATATGCACCCAAAATCTAGAAGACCAATGAATCACCATTACACTATTGGAACAAAGAACAAATTAAAAGCACCAAAGTTGGAAAAGTATATCTCACCTGTCTGATCCATTTGGTATATTTGACAAAGAGAGCTTATCAATATCACTGTAACTTATGTTAGAATGTTTTAACCCATCCAATCCCTTGTTTGTCCAATTAACAGGCACCATTGTTGTAAAAGCAACGCAAGCTATAGGGAAAAAGATCTTGAGCCTGCAAGTTAAAACCATGGCGTCAAGTAAAGGGAAAGATGAGAGTTTTGTGAGGTTATATTTATATATACCCGAGTAAGTAGATCCTCAAGTAGACAACGGAATCAAGTCCAGCGTGATCAACGAGTTCTGGTTCAGGCATTTTAAGTGCCTCAGGCATCCAGTTGAGGAATCGAACATAGGACCTGAAGTCCAAGTTGATGAACTTGCTTCCAAAGCCACCGGTTTGTATAGAGCTCGTTCTTAAGCCTTTGAGGTACCATTTAGGGAAGTAGACTCTGTCATTAACTGGTTGAATCCTGAGTATTGCAAAAGCTATCAAGAAAGCAATTGATGTGACTATATTGATTGCAGCTGCTACTCCAATCTCGTTTATTGTAGCCATGGGAGGATGAAGATGATGCTATACTCTCTTTACCTTCCTGGAAAAAAACAAACTAAGGAAGCACAGATTCAGACAAAACTTGGGAAACAAAGACTAACAAAGGATAGATTCAGACAAAACTGGGAGTTAAAGACTTTGAGAGTTGATGATGTACGAAAGAAATAAACTTGTAAACTTTCTCTGTTCTGTTCAATCCAAAGACCATCCAAACAGAGACAGGATCCATCGGTCACAGTCACTAAGCACACTGAAGAAACAAGATTTGCTTAAAAGTAAAGTAAAGAAACCAGTTTCGGTTAAAACAAAACAGATTCTGTCTTTCATTACCTTGTACAAGAGGTAAAAGACAAAGCTTTCTTGTTCTTGTAAGTAAAGATTTCTGCCTAAAACGGCTAAGGCAACATAAACTAAAGAAGGAGAAGATGAAGAAATTTGTATCTATGGAGATTTAACGGAAAGAAAAAAAAAGGAATTTTTCTTGCCGGGTTTATAGGAAATATGTAAGAAAATACACTGGATAAAAGATTACTGCGGCGCATTCATTGTTTAAATCCGTGAAGGGAAGAAGAAACTGTTGCGCACTTGGCAAAACGTGAGCCTTCTGTATATATTAACAGGGAAAAAAAGAAAAGAAAAAAAAGATGCTTATTGGTATTGAAAGTGACTGGAGAGTAAATCAAAACCGTGACAAAAGAAAATGGCAATGATATTGGAGTATGTATTGGAATTGTCTCCTAACGTTATTTTTTTTAGAGATTTAGCCAAATACCCATAAAAGGGAGTCAGATTAGTAGTTTACCTATGAGTTAACATTAAGACAACTTTTTTTACAATTTGTTTCGTATCGGATGAAAATGATCTTCTTCAACTCTTATATATTTTTCTACTTGTTACAGAAAAGTCAAAATTCTATTGTCTATATCGGACACACTCTCTCTCCAACGATTCTTTTTTTTTTTGCCACATCTCTTTTTCTCTAAATCTCACATTTTTTCACACATCTCTTTTTCACTTTCATTTTTTTCTTTTTGCACTATTTTTTCTTAATTTTTTTTTAATCTACAATTTAATATGTAAATGATTTTTAAATTTACTCATTTTGATAGAGAAATGAAACTTTAACAATATTTATTTGTTAACATATAATACCTAACGCATGTATTGACATCTACAAAATTTATTAACAACTAACATCTCTGTTAACACTTGTAATACATGTCTTTGTTAACAGCTAACACATCTGTTAACATTTACAAAATTTATTAACAGGTAATGCCTCTGTTAATACATTTGGTACATGTTTTTGTTAACAGTTAACACTTTTGTTGACATCTACATTATTTGTAAACATCTAACATAAATGTTAACATCTTCGGCGATTTTAAAAAAACTTCAATGCTGATTTTTTCAGAATGTGGTGTAATTAAAATAATTTAGATTCATAAGAATAGTAGTAAAATAGTAATAAGTTTTTCTCCAACAATAAATTCTTACACAAAAAATAGAAGGTATTAACATGATAAGAGAGTTTGAGAATGAGAAAGAAAAGGAATCGAAGGAAAGAGAAAGAGAGGTTGTCAATTCTATGGGAAAAAAGAATGTTAGGAGAGAGTGTCAGGAGAGAGAGTGTCAGGAGAGAGAGACAGAGAGTCATATGCATGTAAAAGGAAAGATAATTTCGTCATACAAAATGAATCAGTTACATCATGGACAAATCACTAATATAGACCTCATTTGGGGTGTATTAGCAAATAATCTCTTATTTTTTTTCTATTTTTTGTGATGAAAACAGATTTAGAAAAAAAAATTAATTGGAATTTTATGGGAAAAAAATCAATTGGAATTCTATGGAAAAAGAGAATGTCAAGAGAGAGAGTGTCAGAAGAGATAGAGAGAGTCACATGCATGTAAAAGGAAGGGCAATTTCGTCATACAAAATGAATCAGTCACATCATGGACAAATCACTAATATAGACCTCATTTGGGGTGTATTAACAAATAATCTCATATTTTTTTCCTTTTTTTTATGATGAAAACAGATTTAGAAAAAAAAAATCAATTGGCATTTTTCTGTGTAAGCCACTGTAAGGCCACTCTTGCTGGAAGTCTATAACAGCGTCTTTATAATAAAAAAATCAACAAAAAAAAACTGTTTTTTTTTTTGGAAAAACTGTAATACACTTTTCAAAAATCATATGATATACGTTTCATTTAAGGATCAATTTGACTAAAACTAAAATATACTTTTTGGATAAATATAATTTTATTTGTAGTAATAAAACTTCCATATGGTATTGAGAATCTAAGTCAAAAAAGTTATATAGTAAATGTTGTTGTCATATATTTATTAAGATAAATTTGTGTATTTTCTAACTTATCCAAGCACCTACTGGATGGTTTTCAACAAAAACATTTTACATATTAAAAAGTTATTATATTATTAAATGGATATTTTGTATATTGAGAATCACATTTCAAGTATTTCGTTTGAAATACTAATTGAATATAGTTTCTAATATTTGAAAAACTTATTTGATAACATTACAATATATTTTTATTTGTGAAATATTTTTGGTGAAAAGCTTCCAATGAATTTGCTTTAACTAGTGGTTCAGATTTTTTATTGGCTTCCTGATTTCAATATAATATCTTACGTGGATATGATGAAGATATGGAGCCGCCATGAAGAAAGAGACAGTTTTTAGCGAATGTGAACACAAGTTTACAAAATATCACAACCACTATATTGATATTTTCAAATTTTAATAGTTTTATTCCGGTGAATAATTGAAAACTTTTTGGATCCATACTGCATTCCAGTATCATACAGTGACGGTGGAGTTTGCCAAAATACATATAGAATTCAGAATTAGTATCGTACAAAAATATAGATTATTTAAGTCTTTTGTACGTGTATACTCTAGGGTCCTATCCTCTAAGATAAACTTTGGAATGATACAATAAAATGTTCTTTACTATCTATTATATTAAAATAAAAGTAATGACTTATTTCATGTGTAATTTTTTTAGTTTGAACCTTTCTTAAAAAAATTATAAAATTTTACAAAATATCATTATAATATCTTTTCATATCTTTAATTTTTATTTTAAGTACAAACAAATATCTTTAAAAAACTTCTAACAAAATCTTTTTAAAATCTTTAGAATCTTTTTAAGATATAGTTTTGAAAATTATTTGATTAAAATTTTAATTAGCGTAAAATATAATTACAATTTCAACTTCTTTTTGATTTATAAACAAAAATTAAAATTTATGTAAAATACTTTTAACACAATCCCAAAAATTTGCTTATGTATTATTTAGGTCCAACGTAATTTACTTTTACATATATTTCAAATTTAGAAATAAAAAAATATGTAAATTAATAATGTTACATAATAATTTTTTAGAAAAATATTATAAGAATACAAATTTTATATTAATAATATTATAAGCCACATAGACATTATTATAAAATCAGATAGTATACAACATTAAATTATATTTATTTGTGATTTATTATATAATTTAAAATATTGAAGTTTTAAAATATCTGCAATTATAATAAACGTCAAACTAGTGTCATGTAAGTTTTCTTTCTTTTTATTTTCATTCTTAATGCAAATGAGAACATTGTTAATCCAAGACATAAATTATTTTTAAGAATAATAAAAATATAGATCAATATTTTAGTATGTATATATTAACGATATCGCTATATTATCACCCATACTCAAATTTTGTTATTACTATAATTAACTCCACCACTACTAAACTTTAATATGTTTCCAGTTAGGTATGCGCTTACTCCTTAAATAAACTAAAAACTAGATTTTGACCCGCTCAACCGAGCGGGTGTTTAATTTCGTTTATAAATATGTATATATATATATATATATATATATATATATTTATTTATTTACATCATTATTGTTATATATTATTATTCATATGTTTAATGATTATAAAAGATTCTCAAAAAAAAATGATTCTAAAAGATTTTGTTAGAATTCTTTTTAAAATATTTATTTTATTTCAAATAAAAGAAAGATATCAAAAGATATTGTAACTAAGTCAAATAAAATGTTATTAAGATATATATGAAATATTACTTTCTAGGAATGATCCATTTTAAAAAATATCACACATGAAGAGAAGTTGTGACTTCTCTTTTAATATAATAGATTAGCTTCTTCTTTTTGAGTTAAAACTACTTACTAGCAATGGACACCAGTAAACATATCATCATGGAGGAATGCGTGGTCAAAAGCCAATCTGCTAATTGATGGCAACTTTTATACTATTTTTATTTATATTTTTTTCTTTAAACTTCATTTCGCTAACTTGCAAAGTACAAAAGCTCTTTCTCACTGCCCGATTTTGGACCATAGAAAAAAGTGGATTGAGGAAGGAAACTTAGCAAGTTAGTTTTTTTTGGAACTAAAGCAAGTTAGTCTTATTTTAATAACAATGACAATCCATCATTGTCATTACTCTTGACCTACTGTGTTATACTTTCTCCGCTCAAATGATGTTTTGGATTTTTTTCTTCTTTATTCATCCTATTTCTTCCTTTTGCTAGTAGATATCTAGTTTGTAGGGTGGAACAGATCCGGATATCCGAAAAATTTGAAGTATTTGGATTTGGATTTGGCGGATCCGTGATTTTAGTATCAAGATTCAGATTCATGTCTTCCGGATATTCGGACTTCGGATATCGTCTAGATATTGTGATATCCGCGGGTATCCAGATACGAATTCGGACCCGTAAAAATAATTAATTTTTTTTTAAAAAAAAATCAAAACTTCTAAATATAAATACATAAACTAAATATTTATGCATAATTTATGAATATATATATATATATATATGACATATATTATTATTAATATAATAGTAGAAGAATATTATTAAACTTATTTTATGTATAAATATTAATATATCAGATATAATTAATAATAAAATAAAACATTTAATAAATTTTTTAAAAATACGGAT